ATTTTCAAAAAATTATCAAGAACATTTTGATCATCAGTTACAAGAAGTAATTATTTTTTTCAAAATTAAACGACAGATTTTTTCATAAAAAAATATTTCATTTGAAAATCACGCATTTTTCAATGCAAAAATGATCCATAGTTTTTCAGTTTAAATTCTTCAAAATCGATTTTCTCGAAGTGTACCCCTACAAATTCACATTGTTTGTGTGTTTAATAGTTAAACGAACGATTCAGCAAATTTTGACAGCTAGGCTAACCTTAAATATCTTAAAATAAGGGATTTTATAGTTAGTTGGTTGACATTTTTTTGTACGCGTGATCAGCCAAAGGGCGGTAAATTTAGGAACTTCCTGTCCAAATTCGGCTCGAACGATTTTGATCAAAATGTACATACACATAGTAGATATTGTCATGTATAAGATATACAAAAATAGCGAAAATTAAACGACAGGAAATTTTTGGGGTAGGTGTGTTGTACATCCTTAATCCAAATTTTTTTTTATTTGTCGGTGTTGCAAGGTCATAAGGATGTATATGTGCCAGTCGTGAATTTTGTTGTTTTTCCTCAAGATAGTAGCATTAACCAAATCATAGGAACAGATTTTGCATGGTAACACTGTGTTACCATGGCAACCATGAAAGTCATTTTTAGAATAATATTGCCAATACCTAATTACTTAAGGTCAAATGTTTTTTATTGTTTTTCTTAGGTTGTTGATTGAGTTTGATAATGTAACATCTATCATTTGTGAATATTGAGCATTTTTCAGCATCTAAAATGTATTCCAAATGTACCCATGGTTACCACTTACTTAGAGATAAATTATAAATAGTTTCTCTATAGCATAAGTGGCAACAAGGTGTCATGTTTTTGGGAGAATGGTTTGTTTGTTTTTCTTAGTCTTTATTAAGGCTTATAAAGATTCAAAGTAGATGAAAATCTCATTTTTTTCAACTTTTCTGGCTGTTACAATGGCAACCAAGACACACAGCAACGAAATTTTATTTGATATATGTTTCTGGTGTCAAGTTGTAATAATGGGCAAAGTTTCATCAAAATCGGTGACCATGCGTGGCAAAGAAGTTTAAGTGGTTACAGAGAATCGCTATTAATGAGAAATCTCATTTGTATACTGTAACAATATTTACTGGTATGTTTAAGGCCAAGTCTTGAAAAAAGTCAAATAAAATATATTTCATTTGCTTTGCTTTTTATCTTTGCATTAAGTGACCGTTGTATGATTTTCTTTCTTTTTTTTCATTAATGTATTTAAATTTTGACTTGTATTTTCATGTTGTATAGGAAATCAATATTTAAGTAATTATTTGCCAATTTTGTTAACATCAAAAACATTTCATATCGACAAACATGTTTCTTGACGAATTCAAAGAACATGTATCTTAAATTCAACAATTTGCTAGCAGAATTGAAAAAAAAAAAAACTTTAAAAAGCATACAAAGAATTTGATTTTTATGCCCCGCCATGAATATGACAGGGATATATAATAGTGTTTTTCATGTCCGTCTTTCGTCCTTCCATCTATCCTTCCTTCACACTTTGCGTTTAGCTCAGTTTCAAAGAAACTATTCAAGATATTGTTATCAGAATTCATATGCCGATACATATTGATGAGAGCTATTCAACTGCAACATTTTTTTTAACTTGACCTTTCCTTTAACCTTGATCTCACTTTAAAAAAAATTGTTTTAGTTCAGTTTCAAAGAAACTATTTAAGATATTTTATCAAACCTTATCTGCTGATACATATTGATGAGAGCTATTCAACTGCTCAACATTTTTTGACCATGATTCCTTTGACCCTGACTTCACTTTTCAAATAAGTTAAAAAAAATATTAAAGATATTTTTATCAAACCTTATATGCTGATGCATACTGATGAAAACTTTTCATCTGCATCAATAGTTATTTAACCTTGACCTTTCCTTTGACCTTGATCTTACTTTTTAAAAACATGGGTTTAGCTAAGCTTCAAACAAACAAATCAAGAGATTTTTATCAAATCTTATATGATGATAAATATTGGAGAGAGCTATTCAATTTCATCAATATTTTTTTACTTTGGCCTTTTAATTTGCCTTGACTTTACTTTTCAAAAAATTGTGTTTAGCTCAGTTACAAGGAAACAAGTCAAGTTATTTTTATCAAATTTTATATGCTGATAGAAAGCTATTCAACTTTATCAACATTTTTTATCTTTACTTTTACTTTGACCTCGACCTCTCTTTTCTTAAATTTGTGATTTGCAAAATTAAAAAAAAAAGAGTTATTTTTATCAAACTTCATATGCTTAGACATATTAATGAAAGCTATTCAACTGCATCAATAGTTTTCTACCCTGTCCTCTCCTTTGACCTTGACCTCATTTTTTTCAAATTTATGTTTAGCTCATTTGTAAATAACAAATTCAGATATTTTTCACAAAATTCATTTGCTGATACATTTCCATGAGTGCTGTTGAACTGCATCAATTTTTTTTTTACTACGACCTTACTTTTCTTAAATTTGCCTTAGTTTCAAAGAAACTATTCAAGATATTTTCATATAAGGTTATGCACTGATACATAATTTGGTAAGAATTCATCAACTGTGTCGATTTTTTACCTTGACCTTCCCAATGACCTTTAACTTTACTATTCATTGTGAATAAAACTCAGTTTTATAGAAACCAATCAAAATATTTCATCAAACTTTATTCACTATAATACAAATTTTCATGTTACATTACTAATGAATCCTGGACTACGGACATATTTCTAGTTTTACCCTTCATGAAATAATATAGTATTACAATGATTTCATACTTTATTTTCAATATCAATCGTGTTATTTTATTTATTTAGAGGAAAATGAAATTTCAGCATGCTTAAGTGTGTAGTTATGCACGTTTTAAACTGGATATGCAGTGTAGTTATCTATGTTAAAAGTTGGACTAAACTGGACATTCTGCAACAATCTTTTAAAAAAAAGGCACGCGCACTAGATAAAAACCTAACAATAATTACATAAACCATTAGCTTTACTAAACAGATATCAATCAAATATGACTGATAACATTCTAAAAGAATACCCTACTCCTGTTATATGATTCTTCAATGAAGATTTATTTAATGAATTAAATAGACAACCTACGATGAGTTGTGAATAAATTGAATTGATGTGCTTAATTTTACAGTATATGTAACACATTTTCGGAAATTTGCTCTATGCATTTTTTTTTTACTATTATTTACAATTCGATGATTATGATGACAAATCTGATATCGCAAGAAAAGATCGATCTATAATGTAAACTTATATAAAATTTACAAATTTACAAATTTATAAAAAAAAAAAAAAAAAAAAAAAAAGAATTAAGTGGCGCCATGATAAATAGTTTTACACGCTAGCTGTACACACACATTTACTCTATGATTTTGGCGCCAGTCATGGATGCCAATTGTTTTGAATTTAATTTCGCTTGCAGATACATTTTTTTCCTTAAAGAATATCTTATATTTTTAGCTGCTGATACATTTATGATCATTTCCAGTTATTATTTTTAAAATATATTTAAAATATACATACACAGAGAATTGGAACCCGGAAGTGCTTCGCCATTCAATTATCTATTAAAATGTTTAAGTCGGAACATTTGAACTCAAACCACATCAATAAATGACGTTGAGCATATTTTCCTCAATACTTGCACATTAAAAATCATTTGTTCTATGAAATCACAGAAGTGGACAACACAATACAATATAACTTCGACTACGTATATGTAGTTGTGGTTGAAGTGTAATGAAACACTGACATATTTAATTTATTTAATTTGCTGTTACCGTTCAATTTTTTTTATAGATGTATATCATTCCATCTTGCGTTTTGAAATAAAAATTAAGGGAAAAATATGTTTTATCCTTAATATTGTAAATCAGGAACCCTCTTTAACAACTGCTTTTCTCAGGGGGATTTTCCTAAAAAAAAAATTACAGAAATTACGCTTATGTAATTTTCCAGAAATCTAAACTTCCACACGTCACATTGATATTAATTATTTACAAAAAATGTCTAGTTTTTCATACGTCATACGAGATTGATATTAATTATGAATTAATGCATATGTTTGCAAAGGAGTGCATTCATTAATGTTAAAAAAAGTAATTTATTAATCTGTTCACCTGAATTAAACATTTGTTGACGAATTGCTTAATATAAAGTTAACAAATTCGATTGTACCGCCCAGTACATTAGTAAATGCACTTCTTCGTTTTATAATTATTCAAAATTTTGAAATTCCCCGGAGCATTGCTATAAATACTCCACTGTGTGATTAGGTGTTTAATTGAGGAGTAACAAGTAATAGGTAAGGAATTTAGTGAACTATCATTGATATAAGTAAAATACATATAGAAAAATGAGTTAGAAAAGAAAATTAATATGAAATATCTTGTTATTTTATACATCTAAAATTTCACATGCATTGTAAATTTATAAAGTTTGAATTCTAATCAAGTTATTATTTTCAATAATTGTAATTTTTACATTATTGTAAAACCGTATTGACTCTATTGACAAATATCCCCATCAGTCAATATGCAACAACAGGGTCCAGCGTCGGAAGAGATGCAATATAGATTCTGAAACTTTTTTTAAATTTATTTATTGAATAATAATATTAATTCTTAGTTACTTTGCCCTCATCTAAATGATTAAAACCGCCTAACCGTCACTTTCATAAGGACATCTTTTGTGAACAAAATCTTGACGTGCCTTAACACGGTGTCTTTCAATGTTATTAAAGTGATACTCGTATGTTTTCTTATTATTTCGCTTCTGTTCAAATCATATGACTAATCATTTGTCTGTGTAGCAAAGAGACGTGAGAGGGATTCCTCTTTATTGTATGTTAATCACAGGACAGTACATGCACCGCTATAAATAATTGTTGAAAACAGTAGAAACTTATATGTGCAGAATTTCTAATCAGCAGTTTTCTATTTACGAAACGTAGAGAGAAGATGCTGAGAATTGATCCTTTCTTTATTGCAACGTTTCTTGGAGTACTAGGACTGGTTCATTCACTTCTAAAACCAATCCCCCTCCCGACCAATTTACAAGAATGTTACAAATTCCGTTCCTTCAACATGACGCCATCTGATTCGGATGCCATAAGAATTCAGAACGTTTGCTTTAGAAATTACGAATACAAGCAAATCGCTGCTGGTAAGGTTTGGTCTGGTCCAAACATTACACAAGAAGGAATCAACTATATTGATGGCTTATTCCGTCAAATATTTACCGAAGCGAGAGAAGTAGAAAGATACTACAGTGGTAGAAGACATAAAAGACAGATAAGGCGTCCATGGAGATACAGACAGGAAGTGCGCAGTGGGAATGCCTTTCGTCGGTTCGCAAATTGCATAAACCGACTTCAGAATCAGGTACATTTTAAAAATCTATTGAAACAATGGAATTTTCAAGTCTTATTTTTTTACGCTTGTGAATGAAAAACTCATACAATTCTAATTGAATTATTGAATAGATTAGCAGTATAATAGTGTAATGATCGGTCAAGTTAAGGTTATTGATATGAAATAATAGAGGTCAAGGTTATTCTTATGTAATGATCCAGGTCAAGGTAATTTATTTGACTTTTGAAGACTTTTTATTTGAACACTTTCATGTTCAACATAACATATAAGGGTTACTAATCAAATGGTCAGTGAAATAATTCATAATGCTTAGAGAATACATGACTGTGATAATGTCATAATCAGAGAAATTATTTTTTGATGCAAACATGAAACTAATTTTGATTTTAAGTCAAAGATTATGTCTTAAATAATATTTAACAATATATGAAAAAAATCTTTTAGAGAAATTGAACTTGTGGAATGATGTTACTTCGCAGAGTTTGCACAGCAGACCTCAAAAATACCCGTTGTAAAACCTTTAGTTGACTTACTCTGTAAAATATTAAATTGTAGTAAAATCTCAAGGATGAAGATTTTCTAGTTTGTAGAACCGCGGGATGCCGGGCGCAACACTTATCAAACCCTAGCTGTTTTTCACTCGGGACCAGCGTTGGACACTGCCCATGATGGACCTGGTTTCACCCCTTGGCACAGAATTTATCTGCTGCTGTAAGTTATTTCAGCGTTGTAAACTGATAATACAATTATTAGTAATTCAATCAATCCTTCATATTTCTCAAATAACAATTATTTAACATCTGATGTAGTTACATCATTGTTGTTTTTTGTTGCATTTCAAATGCTATGCCCTACTTGAACCAGTTTCTCCGGCTATGGAATACTTGTATAAAAATCGTGCAATCAATATAATGAATATCATAACGCCCTACATATATATATATATATTAAAATAGAATATCTTCAATTCTCTGGTCAAAAATAATACATTTCAAGTTATTTATTTAAAAAGGCTGCTTAAAACATGTACATCTTTAGTGATGTAATGTGATACATGTTAGACTACATTTGAATGCAGAGTCATTAAATTGGACTGTCCCTGTTTTCAGCTTAGAGTCAGCATGTGGAGTTCCCATCCCTTATTGGGATTCATCAGTGGATCATGATATGGGAGATCCAACAGAGTCAGTCCTTTGGAGCGACCAGTTCTTCGGAAACGGTGACGGAGTTGTTAATCGCGGGCCTTTTCGAAATATGCGTACAATCCTTGGTGGGCCAGTAATCAGAAACATTGGAACAGGTGAGCAGAAAAAAAATGTCGCAAGATTCAACTTGAAGAATAATATGCATGTTTTTGGTCTTTCTGTCTGTCTGTCTGTCTGTCTGTGTATTTATCTGTTTGTCCGCAAAAACTTTAACCTTTGGTCATAAACTGTACACCATTCTAACCTAGCTAAAACCAATCGCCTCTAACAATTTCAAAGTTTTGTCTAAGTGGGAAGACTTCATATTTTTTACCCTATGACCTATCCTACTTTTATCCTACTTTTGAAAAAGATGCAATACAGGGGCATCAATGTTTCACAAACATATCTTGTTTTCTCTATAAAGATATTAATTTTTTTTATTTTGTAAGAAATATCAGCTAATAGATGGTTTGCTTACAGTAAAAAGATATGCTGCCGGAATAATTAGCTATATGAAGTAAAAATATTCAATTCACATATTTAAAGGCATTTTTACTTTACCTCATGTGTTATAAAATATACAATATTTCATTTATTCTATAGGCGACAGCGCCCTGTTCACCAAGGATGGTGTCAGAGCAGTTCTTAGTCGAAGAAATTACGAGGACATAATGGAGCCTAAAGAAGGAGCGGAATATATGTTCAGTTTGGAAGGTCATCATAATGGCCCGCACGTCTGGGTCGGAGGTCACGTTGCTAGCCTTAACACTGCACCATATGATCCAGTGTTTTACATGCACCATGCATTCGTTGATGCAGTCTGGGAAAGGTTTCGAGAACAACAAAGAGCAAACGGAGTAAATCCAGAAACAGATTACCCCGCCACTTATCCAGATGGACACGGTCCTGATGTCATGATAGATTTCAGACCATACGTCAATCAAATACCCAATAGCTTTGCCATGTTAAACTTCATAGCAAATCTCGTCAGATACGAACCATTCCCTGCCTGTGATAATCAATGTAATCGAAGTCCCCATTTGCGGTGCGATCGGACTCGGCGTGCACCAACTTGTGTGTCACGAGAACGAAGAGGTGCACCCCCACAAATGTTTCAAGCAGGTGCTGCATCTAGAAGCGCTGCATTTAGTCGCACTGCGACAACACGATCACAATCTTTGGCTGTAGCTGAAGCTGCAGGACCTATACCTGCTGGTCCCAAGTTTCGTAGCTCGCCAATACGTGATACACGGAATCGAGCAAGCAGCATAGGAACTGCCCCTGTTGCACCGGAAATACAAGCTGCCAGAGCACAAGTCAGACGAGTTGTTCAAGCACGTGTTCGACGTGATATTTCTGAAGCAACTGGAAATGATACATTCAGCAGTGATAATCATCAGTCTGTTTCGTCTCTTCAACGATCTTTTACAAATACCTTTTTAATGGACGGAAAAGTAGATCTAAAGAGATGGGTTTACGTGCCAATTCGTATTGTGTATACTAGGTCTCCCAATGTAGACGGTATCGATCAAACAATACTCAGAAATGTAGACTTGTCTAAAGATTCTTGCCAAGCAGCTCAATCAGGGGCTTTAAAGGTGTTTGTAGCTTCCAATGGTTTGAATTATTATGGTTCATATAAAGAGTTCGTGATAATAGATGAGAGGCAACCGGTGTCCATTACAACAACTGCTGTAGGAATAAAGAACCCGGATTATGGCGAAGGAGAGGTTCTGTTCACCGCATATGACTCTTGTGGAAGACCATGTCGTCCTCTGTGTTTGACGGAAACCAAAGGACAACAGAAATATAAGGCTTGTTCTGGAGCTTTTAAGATCTCGTCTGCTCGCCCGGAAATGTACAGATCTACATACAAGGATGCTCTTGCTGGTGATTTGTTGTCACAAAACTTGTTTGATACATATTCGTACTACTCACAAACGCCTATTACTTTTGCATGTGACAATAATAAGAAATGGCCATGGGAGTATTAGTCTTTGTTAGACAATATGTGTTGATTTATGATTGGTTAATTTTTTTTTATTTTATAAATGTTTTTGTTGAATAAATTATTTATATGTATGTTACATTATTTATGAATTAGCTTCTTTTAATACTCACTTTAGTCAAGTGTCCAGTTTAATTTTTTTTTCTTTCCCAGAATATGATTTTTCAATGGAAGTTCCTTATCTTTACGGTCGTCGTGTTTGAATAGATAAATTCCTCTCATAAAATACAAATTAGAAGTGAAATCATATCAGAATCATTATTTTAATCCTAATATCATATACCAGTTTAAGTTTTTTAGGGGAGGGGGGAGGAGGTTTGAATATTTTCCGAACGTCGAAGTTTGGTTTTAAACGAAATTTCGATTGTGATGAAGTTGAAGAGTCGTTTTTCCTTGTTCTTGATTAACGTGAATACACGATTCCACTGTGTATATTTTGTGACTGCTGGGTAGTTTGTCACCTTGTGCATCCAACTTCAAATAAAATTAGGTTTTAAAATTTCATATTTGGATGTTAACATGTTTATTTATAAGCACATGCAGATATAACGCAAATAACACTCGCACAAATGATATTGTCTTAGACCTAAACACGTCTTCTTTAAAGATATAATAGTAAGTGCAAAAAAATTGTCTTTTAACACAAGATTGTATACGAAGGTAGCTGCAGAGACCTCTAAAGCATTTTTTTTTATTTTTGGCAAACAAGAAAACATTTAAAGATATGATGATGTTAAAACTTTCGGCTGCTCGTGCGAGTTAAAATTTTGCTCTATCAACCGAACCTTGCATTTAAACCAATCGAACGAGTTCCTTTTTTGGTCTATTTCAACGAAAATGCTTCAATATTCATGTCGTCAATCACAAATTTTCTAGACCACTGATTTTTATTTATAGAAAGGGGAAAAAAATTATCAGGTGTTAAAATAAAGTGTTGCGTATTTTGTTCATAAAAGATTAAGATTGATAAAGAGTCAAGATAACAAAATAACATACGTGTATCCAACATCATTGTTTACATTAACATGTATTTTCTTCATTCACTTTTGATTGCACATTTTAACATGATGCCTCAACATATACTTGAAACTTTTTTCAAAATGATTAGAAATATTATTCGATTTTTAGCTCTACTGGTCAGAGACCAGAAGAGCTTATCTGATAGTAAGGTGTCCGTCGTCCGTCCGTCTGTCTGTCCGTCCGCCTGTAAACAATTTTTCAAAACGCTACTCCTCCTACAGTTTTGATTTCAATATAACTTGGTACATAAGTAGACTACACAAGATACATAATTCTGTATATCGGTTTTTGATTTCAATGAACGGTGTTGCCATGGTTACTAAAAATAGAATTTTTTGGGAAATACATTCAAAATGCTACTTCTCCCACAGTTTTGATCTGATATCAATATAATTTAGCACACAAGAAGACTATACTAAGATACATAATTCTGTGTATCGGTTTTTGATTTCAATGAACGGTGTTGCCATGGTTACAAAAAATAGAAATTTCTGTGAAAATTTTCAAAACGCTACTCCTCCTACCGTTTTGGTCCGATTTCAGTACAACTTGGCAAACAAGTAGACTACATTAAGATACATAATTCTGTATATTGATTTTTGATTTCGATGAACGGTGTTGCCATGGTTACTAAAAATAGAAATTTCCTTGAAATACCTTCAAAATGCTACTCCTACAGTTTTGGTCTGATTTTAGTATAACTTAGCACATAAGTAGACTACACTAAGATACATAATTCTCTGTACCAGTTTTGGATTTCGATGAACAGTGTTGCCATGGTTACTAAAATAAGAAATTTTCTTGAAATACTTTCAAAAAGCTACTCCTCTTACATTTTTTGTCTGATTTTAGTATAACGTGGCATACAAGTAGACTAGACTGAGATACATAATTGATGATTGCAATAAATTTTGCCACATAAAGACAGTAAACCAAGGATCATTATTCTATTTATTGCTGTTGCAAAGTTTCAAGTCCAAGTGCTACTTTTATCTTCCTTTATAAGTACAACCAGTAGAGCTACAGTCTCGTCAGAAACTTCTGGGTTTTTTTGTTAATTTACTTTTGTTTGTTTTATATTTTCCCCTCTTTTTCTGATTTCTTTGAAAAGGGGGCTTTGCAGTTAGTACATGTATTCTTATTCTTATATAAGTTATAGTGAGGTCATAGTAAACTGGGTTTCAGATGACGATTCATCTTGAAGTTAATGATGCATACTTACATGTAGTTGTTTTCCATCATAACAATTCTCCAGCACTCTGACAGATGTGTCTAAAAATTTGAGCAGACTTTAGCAATTTTTTTAATTAATTACGATCTTTTAAGGATACACCAAAGGTTTCCAAATGCCAGAATTTAATTTGCATGTAATTCTTTCATTATCAAAGATACCATAATAAAAGTACATATCATTTGAAAGCTTGTTAAATTTACTATTTAACTATCATAATTTAAACTTTAATTAATAACTTATTTAAAAACTATTTAAATATTATTGTAAATTTTAGTACATGAATAATTTATAAATCAACTTTTCTGTATTTCACCCCTCAAAGTGGTCATTTTGCCTCAAGGTAGATTAAAGATTGAACTCGTACAAACTGTATCTCAGATTTTTGTTAAATCTTCTAATTCAAAAGTTACAGCCATTTGCTCTTCAATGTTACCAATTTATTAGCCTAATTTAACATTTCCCTCAATAATTCCAAAACTAAGCTAGATATCAAAAATCTGAGATACGGTTTTTTGAAAACACATTTTCAGAGAAGCAACCCATCCAATTTTTTGAGATAAGGGTGTGAATCCTTTGAAATAATACCACAAACTGTCTGATCTTACTTTACAGTAGAGGGCAAAAACCCATTACACAACAAAATCTGCCAAAGCTAGGAATGTATGACACCTCGGAGATTCAGCTTTAGATACCTGTCACTTAGCCATATTTCCTATGCATATTCACAAGAATGAGATGTTCTTTTCTGTATTTAGATGCTTTTAATTAAGTAAAATAGGTTCAATTCTGAATCAGAAAAAATTCCCGGCAAAATGGCAAGAGCTTAGCTCCACCTCCTATTTTATGGTCATCAGTGATCTATTAGATCTCCTTCTCTAAATCTAGAGTCCCTGTAGTTTAATTACTGATAACCTCTATGTGGCTAGTGAAGAATTCCCCAAGTGGTCACAGTGATTTATTGCGTCTTTCATGAGCAGGCAGTCACAGATCAAATCAGAAGCTTCAATAACGGAACATTCACATGTGGTAGTGTTTATGTTTCATTATTGTTAAATAATTAGAAAACCATTTCATGATTACCAAGAATTTTATACGCATTATAAAGCAGTGATTAACTTCTTTTTCCTAACCAAAAATCTCAAAATTGTTGAAAATCTTGAAAAAAAGCCTTTGGTGTACCCTTAATTCTATATATACATGTATATGAACATGTACCTTCGTGTTAGCTAATTTTGCCTTTGTTTACCTTTATGTATTCAATGTACACGAGCAAACAGGGATGTATTTCTGAATTTACTGAAAACATCCCTCAAAATAGTAATATCTTGCTGACCGAATAAAGTGGAATGGTTTAAATCTAAATGTGATGATCAGAATCTTTTCATAGACAAGTAAAAAGAAAAAAAAAATAAGTATGAACAACGTAATGCCAACCACTGATAATTAAAATCAAATTGACAAGTGAGATTTTATGATCAACAATTAGATTTAAAATTGTTTTTGATCTCTGTTCAAAATGAAAAAAATCTTATGGCCTTCACTATTGAGATTTATATTAAGATAAGAATTGTACAACTTCATTCCTCAGTTCTGAACTTTCTCCTTTCGTTTTCAAAAATTATAACCGAAACACATTTTTTTTCACAAATGTTTTCGATTTGCAAAATATTTGCAATTCTTATAATCGAGAATTCATAGTGCTTCTAACTAATTAATTTTTCAATTGCGAGTTCAACAACAGGTATATTAATTACTGTATAACAGTGTATATATGGAGGATTATTTCCTTGTACTGTTCAAAAAAGTAAGATATTCAATTTGACTTAATAATAAAAAAAAAAGGATTTTAATGAATATAAGCTAATTCTACTAAATATCAATTTCATAAGATATGTTTCCGCAATTTTAAAAAAAATTGTTGATTTCAGTGGTTATTCTTTTTTCACATAAAACTGCATGTTTGTACATTGAGCACGCCCAATTTATTTCAAGACTATTAATCACAATTCTGAAAATTAATAGGCTTGCTTTGCTAACAATGCTAGAATCTGTAGATTGCAACAAAAACGCATAATTTTTTTTCCGTCTTTTTTATTTGTTGTCTTCAGGATAAGCTACACTTTCCAAAAATAAAAGAAAAAGTCGTAGGTTAAAAAGGATTTTAGCAAGGACATACATGTAATAAGAGGTCCAGGAACTCGTTAAATCACTGCTCTTCGTGAATTATGCATCTTATAAGTGAGCCAATATTATAATCGTCTATTAGATCTTAATTACATGTAACTGTGAAATAAGTTACATACGCTTAAATTTTAAAAACCCAGGGGTTGGGGGGGGGGGGGCTACTTTAGAATACATTTTAAAGGAGATGGGTGAACAAGGTGTGCAGAATGCCTATAGCTTCGGATATATAAAAATCCCATTTAATCTGTGAATTTAGCATTTAAGTAAAGTTTTCATTAATGAAATTTATGAAATTATGATAAACAAAACTTTTCTTAGGAAAGTTTTCTTGGCAAAATTTATTCTGTTATTGAAAAATAATATAGTATTCATGGGGTTCAAAAGCTAGCAATAAAAAACCTGAGTATCATTTTCCTTCGAGATTAAGCACGCTAACCACTATGCCTCTCAGCTCCTGATGAGTAGTGGCATTTAAATCATGATTGTGATGTGACCCTTCACTAAATGGACTTCAAGTATTTCTCGGAAAGAAGTGAATATTGTGTCATAAAAGTTTATTTTTAAAGTATATTGGGTCTTTGCTCCATGATTTTGTTAACAAAAAATGTATATTTTAACTTAAACTTTGAGGATAATCCTTCAAAAA